TAAGTTTTTTTTTTTAAAAAAAGACAAATTTGGAGTTTCTTCACTAATGGAACGTTAATTTCATTTCATCCTGTTGGAACAATTAATCAGAAGAATTTTGCTTTGTCCTCAACATCACCTTCTCCCTTATGCATGGCACCTACTCTAGCTTCTTAACCAAATTAATTATTTTTAAATTAACTGTCCTTTAATGTATTTTTATAACTCTCTCTTTGTATTGACAGTGTTGGTTGAATGAAAATAATATTAGACTATTGGATTATACATATGTTGCACGTAGATATACAATGTGGATATACATGACAGATATAAGAATAACAGAAAATTTGAAAATTTCCTCGTTGAAGAGTCTGACAAATTTATTATGAGTATAGTAGAAGTACAAAATTTTAATAAGTATAATGCATAATTATTTAATAAAAATATTATAGTTATTGATTTTTAAGAGGAATACTTAAAACTTTGCACTATTGTTATAGTTATTATTCCTCTAAGTGTTATTTTAACAATAGTATAATACTTGATGATATTAGTATAATCATGATATCATGTTATATTAGTAGATATGATTTATATAATCATTATTACAAATTATAAATGTCTATTATATATTTTCATTATTAAATAATTAGCAATCATCCATTGTTGAATTGATATTTTCATAATTATGTTCAACAATTATTATTTATTAACATTTCATTTTAATAAGTTTTATTGCTAAATATAGGAAATATTGATTATTCTTGTTAAATTATTCAAAGATAATGTCTGCTTTCTTATTTTCTTTTAAGCGTTATATATTAAATTTTTTTTTTGAACGTTATATCTTTAGATATTAGTGACCTGAAAGCATGCCTTAAGCAAAGCCTCACTGATGTTACCGTAAAACCCAAATAACAACATTACATAAAGGAAAAAGTTTATATAGAGCCGAGGATCTAAACAATCAAATTAGAGCTCACCTCAAAACTTTCACTAGAAGAGGTTGTTTTGATACCCAAATATCCTCAAATTTATTATCTCGATATCAAGATGCATGGACATGATGAAAACATGGATTTCAAGTTTTGGGATTAGGGAATCTAGTAATGCTTTTTCGGATGGTGAATTTTCAAGATTTTCAAGTTTTATGCTCGATCTACACTATTTTTTAAGCTTTAAATTTCATAATTAGATATAAAAATATATTTTAAGGCTATCACAAAGATTTCCAGTATTGAAACTATATTTTTCGATACTATTTGAAGATGCGTTTTACTTTGATTGTTTAGAGCCTTGGTTCTATACAAACCACACCCCATTATCTAATATTAATGTTTATTCTCGTGCACCAAAAGTTCTTCTAAAATCTCTCACTTTGAAAGGATTTTCTTTACCAATATACATTCTCATAAAAATATCACAGAAAATCTCATAAAGACTCAATTTGAAAGGATTTTCTTTACCAGTATATATTTTCATTAAAATATCACATAAAATCTCATAAAGTCCAGATATTTTCTATATTCCTACCTCTTCCATTGTTTCCAATTCAAGCCTCTAATTGTATATATTATGAAAAGATGGGATTTGCTTTGAGAAAAAGGTCATCTACATTAAAAAACAATGAAAAGAATGGATAGTTTTGACTTCAATAACCACCCCTAGGCTGCCTTATGCCCATATAAAACAGTCACTCTGCCCATATAATACTGTTTGGATGCTAACAAGTACTATAATACCTGGATTCTACCTAAGATGGCCAAATAAGTAGCTTTTAACACAATTTAGATGGGAACAGCAGAATTATTGGAGCTACTAGGGACTCCCTGTCTTATAGGCAAATCAGTCATTGTTGACTCGGTCTCACCGGAGCGACTCGAACAGTTTAGGGCCTGAGTTAGGTGCCAGAGCGCAATAAAGGGGATAGACTGAAATCATAAGTGCACGTGTGACAAGTACCACAACATGACGTAATGAGTTCCATTCTAATCGACTCTCTAGCTAAGGTATTAAAAAAATAAAATAAAATAACACTTTAGGTCTCGAGAGTTAAACCTGAGAGTTTGGGTTGAGGACTGAAGAGAGATAATATCTTTTCAGAAGCTTATGGCGCTCCCCGTAGTCAGCCATGGCCACCATCCACTTATCTGCTGTCGCCAACATGAAAATCCATGAGAGTTTCCTCGTCGAGAATGACGGGAACCTCGTCACCATCACCTGTGACCCCAATGAAACGTCTAAGCTCGTATTCTTTTCATGCTCATAAAATGATATCAAGCATGCATCAGATTTTACATAATTTAGAGAGGGAGAGGGAGAGAGAGGGACCTCTCTGGCGAGCTCAGAAGAGGTGACAACAACAAGGGTGGTCGTCCCAGTCTTGATGGTGTACAAGGGACCGTATTTTCGAGCCCATTTGGTGAAGAGTATGTGAGGCACCGCGCCCTTCATTTGATGCAAATTCCCGATAACTGGCCACCCCGGCACCGCTGTGGAGAGCAAAAGAGAGAGAGAGAGAGAGAGAGAGAGAGAGAGAGACAGTTAATTCAGATCAACAGCCTGTATTCATGCGCAATCAGACCACCCATTTGAAGTTTCTCTTCTGTGATACAAGGGCGTATACCAGTGTAATGCACTTAATATAGTTTCCCTATACTGTATTACCATGTCTGTTGGGAGAGACAATTGAAAAGGACCCCCCACAAGCCAAAAGCATGCTGAATTGGCAGCACTTTTTCAAATATTAATTATTGGAAAAATATCTCCATATCTCTTGTTTTTAGGTTTCATTTCACAATAGACTTAAAGTTTTAAAAGATATTTTGAGACATAAAAATTATAGATTTTATTTCTTCTGACCCTTTGAGTTAATTTAAACTTGTTTTTTTAAGTCAAACAAATCTAAAAAGATATACCTTTTCTAAAAGTCATCATCTCAAACTTCTAGATAAACAGAAGGGCCTCATGGAGGTAAGAGATTACCTGGAGAAGAGAGAAGTGTTTTGAAAATTACGAAAGGAGAGAGATTGAGAAAGACGCAAGAAGAGAGAAAAAGAGAGAAATTTGAGGTATATACATGAAGAAGAGAGAAATGATTGAGTTTAAAAATAGCATGTTTTTTTACATTTGTTTAGGTTAAAAAATAAGTTTAAAGTAGAAAGGGTTAGAAGATATCTTTGGAAACCTTGAGTTTATCAAGAAGTGAAATTTTAAACTAGAGGATGTTGAAATATTTTCTCTTAATTATTTGAAAGGATAAAAAATTTGGGAATATGTTATTTATAGAAGGTGACCCTACCAATGTCATCAATTGGTGTAATAGGTTTTTTAGACCTCCATGACACCTTATATCACACAAGTTTTGGAGTTATTATCAGATGACATTACGTGTTTTTGTCCTGTCTATCGAGAGGTTAATGCATGATTTAGTAAATAAAAGAGCTGCCTTAGATTTTTTATTTTTTTCCAATTTTTATTTTAAATCCGTTTCGCCTTTTGTAAAAGCCCATTTGATGTAATAATACAAAATATTCTTGTCAAAAGAGAGGGAGAGATGGTAACCCATGTCACCCGTAGAACATAGAGAGAGAGAGAGAGAGAGATACCTGGGGGGCTTCTAAGGCTTCCATTCTTAGCTTTGAGGGCTCTATGAGTGAGGAGCCATAGTAGAAGGCCAAGTGCGGCCGCGGCCCCTGAAACCCTCCATGACTCTGGAGACAACTCCATCGTCCTCCTTTTGAACAATAAGGAAAGAACAGACTCAGTGCTGAAGCCATCTTGCTTCTCCCTCTATTTATATAGCTGCCAAAGACCAACCACACATCATTATTATTATTATTATTATTATGGAAATATCAAAGACCATTCACATTGTTTGGGTCAAAGTGTTATGTGCCCCTGATAATTTCTGAAATCCCCTAAATTGTTTTGGTTTTTTTGCTTTTTTCCATGAAATCTTTGCTAATGTGCGTGGAAATATCAAAGACCATTCACATTGCTAATTTTTTTGTTTGATGGCATATTTGTTAGCATCTTTCTAAAAATTATTTCTAGCATCTTTTTTCTAACCATTTGGGTTCTGCTATTATCATTAGATTTTTTTCCTAATTATTTGGGTTCTGCTGGCTATTTCTAGCGTCTGGCTTTCATATTCATGTGTGAAGAATCAATATGTGACATATTTTTATGAAACCTTTTGCTGACCTGCATGTAAATTTTACTAAAGGAGTAGGGCTCGGGCATGGATGGTTATGGGGGGGGGTTCGTCAACATAGTGTCACATCCTCCGTTCCCACCATTAACATGTCATATTATTTTTCACTGATTGTTTTAGGGGCCTAGTTCTATGCGGCCAGCCTACATATTTATTTTTATCCTAATTTTTAGAGAATATATAATCTTTAACATGAAGATCATGAATATAAAAACAAAAAAAACAAAAAAAATTGAAAATTAAAAATAATAATTATATTAAAAAAAATATTTGGATTATTAGTTACACTTGTTTTTATTTTTATATGGACCACCTATTTGCATCAAATGGATGCTTTATACCTTTTGACCGTATATTGTAAAAATGCGGTCCAGCCCATATGAAACAATTTTTCTTATTTTAGTGAGTATAGCACATTAACATGTTTTGCGGGCATATCCTATACTATATACTCCCTTCAGTAAAATGCTGGTTAGAAGGACTTTACTGAAAGAAAAAATAAAATAAAACACTCCAGAAAGAGCACAAAATTTTACTTTACCTTGTGGATATGGTGCACCCTATCAACCATCATCAAGTGGATAGGAAGCATTTGTAGGAGTAACTTGGAAATACATATAAAAAATATTAATGGCGATTGCCCCTCTGCCTTAGGGAATAAATAAGAGAAATAATGTGACGTGTGTGTATTTGTCGGACTTTGGAGCACAAGATTCTGTCTCTCTCTTATTTCATGAGTTCCACCTAAAAACTTCAGATTTTCAATGGCCGCAATATTATTAAAAAGTTGTAAATTTGACTGTCAAAAGAAAAGTAGACAAATGGGGTTTGTATGAGTTGGCGGACTCATATGTACATATGCGACCCCCCCACTAAAATTTATTTTAAATGACTTTTTTTTTCTAAGTTCTTTTTGTAAATTCTAGGCCAAGATTATTATAAATATGTAAAGAAACATAATTTTTGTAAAATTAAAAATATAATTTTTTTAGTACTTTTTATGCACTGTCCATATCTTATTTATAGATGATACTCTTTAGTTAATGTCAGCGAGCTTTTGTGCACACTGACTTATGAAACAATTTTCCTTTTAAAAATAAATGAACATGGTAAAAATTTTGCTAAAGAATTCTAGGATTACCTTTAAAATCTCCAACAATCGACGAGTGATAGAGTGAAACTTGAATTCTTGAAATCGTTTAAACAGGAAAAGTATACAATGATACTATTTACTTTTACTATAAGGTGGTCACAATTAATCTTGACCATTGGATTTGACCATTGAGTGACTATATTTATTTTATTGATTAAGATCAAAATTCACAATAAATTTTCTTGAACTTCGTGACATACTTAAACTATCAGATTTTACATCATATGTCTATAAGTAATTGTGATCTTTTTGTACCAAAAGTAAATTGTTTATTGTGTACTTAAACAATACTGCATAATAAATACTACTTAAGACAAACCTAGAAAAGTAACTGAGAGGTTGTCTACTTAATTTCTGAATATTTATTGACTTCATTAAGTCAAAGATGAGAATTTGTCTACTGCATTGTCACAAGAATTAGGTGATAGGGCGAGGCTGAGTTATCTTGAACATAAAAAATTAAAAAACTCCAAAATTTAAACAAAAATATCGATACATTGTATAAACTTTTTGTATATGATTTGGATGCTTTTGGCCTACATTGTTGAGTTTTTTTTTGCCATAATCCATGGTTTATATTTTCTTTTATTTTTTAGATCTTTGAAAATTACCAACTATATATCAAAATTTTAAAATCCATTTTTTCCATACTTTTTTAAACATTTAAGGTTTCTTTTTGTTTTATTTTACTTTTACTACCTTTATTTTGTTTTTCCATTTTTTATTGTTTTGAGATTTTCTAGGGCTACTTCACCGTATATAGGAATTGGCCAAGTCTCTTAGACGGCCAATTAACTTGCCTCGGCCAAGGACCGAGTCCCTTGGCAAAGTTGGTCAACTGCATTGCTTTATTTTTTGTGATCTCATTTTTTTTTTGTTGCATTCTTATTTTTATGATTTTTTTAAATATGTATATTCAAACCGGTGATCTAAAAAGGGTGAGGACCTTAAACTTTCTCTTAACCCAACCTATACATGGGTAAAGGAGCTAGGTTGTTTTAGGTAGGTAGCCAATGTAAAATTTTGCCAAAACTTATCATGAATCCTGAACCTACAATATATGTTTATGCTAGTGCGTTTCTCATAAGAGACGCACTGTATTAGAACATGGGAACAATGATGAATGAGCAATGGTTAGCTACGGTGTTCCCCAGAAGCGATGCATCTTAGTGCCGCCCCCTGTTGATGTAAAAAATAGGCAAGGGTTATCGTAAAATTCTTGACAAGTGTCAGTAAAGAAGTTTGTCCAAGATAATAGGATTCATATAACCACAAGGAATGTAGGAACACTTATAGATAAGAGTATGAATTAGTGGATACAATGAAACAAATGAGAATATTCATAGCCTGTCTACAAGAAACTAAATGGAAAGGAGAAAAGCTAAAGAAATAGAAAGGTATGAACTTTACTATACATGAAAGAATAATAATAGAAATGGAGTAAGCATAATAATAGACAAAGACTTAAAAGATAAAGTAATTAATATCAAGAGAATAAGTGATGAGCTCCTATTAATTAGACTTGAATTAGGGGAAGAGATAAGTAATTAGTGCTTATGCACCACAAGTAGGATTAGAGGATTGAATTAAGAGACAGGACATGGATGGAATAGTCCAATATACACCAAATAGAGAGATAACCTTTTTACGAGGGGACTTAAATATTCATGTAGGGAATTATAGTAGAGAATATGAAAGGGTGCATGAGAGATATGGGTTTGGTGAAAGAAATGAGATGGGTGAGGCTAGTCTAGATTTTGATATGGCCTACGACCTAGCAACAGTAAACACTTACTTTAGAAAATGAGATAAACATTTAATAACCTATAAAAGTGGATCACATAAAAGCCAAATAGACTTCTTCCTAATTAAGAAGTTAGATCGATCATCATATAAAGACCGCAAGGTTATCTTTGGAGAGAGTTTAACTACCCAACATAGACTCGTTATTATGGACATCTGCATAAAGGCATGGAAGAGAATATGTTAAATTAATAGGTGTCTAAGAACTAGGTGATAGAATTTAAAAAAATGAGAAACTATACTTATTTAGGGATATATTTGTTAAAGAAGGAAGTTGAAACTTGGAACATGAGGTCAATGTTATGTGCAATGAGATTGGCTGGTTGTACTAAGAAAGGTACAAATTTTTTTTTTAAGATAATCTAGAGGGAAAAAAAATTCTTAGAAGGAAAATTTTTGGTGGAGTGATGAGGCTCAGAAGGCCATTACCGAAAAACGATTATCTTATAAAACTTAACAGTGTAATAGAAATGATCAAAACTTATAAGAATGTAAAAATACTAAGAAAAATGTTAAAATAAATAGTAAGTAAAGCTAAACTTAAGGCATATAATAATCTATACATTAAACAGGGAGCAAGAAAAGGTGAAAAAATGTCTTCAAATTAGCAAATATGAGAGAGAAAAAATGTAAAAATCTAGATTATATTAAATATATTAAGAGTGATGATCAAAGGGTCTTGGTGAAAGATGAAGAGGTCAACAAGAGGTGGAAACTTTATTTAAAAACTTATTAAATAATGAGCACAATGAGAACATATCAGTAGACGAAACCATTAACATAAATGATGACGAAAGTCACATACATTTATAGAATTAGGATATTGGAAGTGAATGAAGTTTTGAAAATGATGAAGATAGGAAAAGCTTTAGGACCATATGGTGTCCTAATAGAGGTTTGAAATTACATAGGGAAGATTGACACTGATTGGTTGACCAAATTGTTCAACAAGGTGTTGAGAAAAAAAATAATGCCAGACGAATAGAGTAAAAGTATTGTGGTATCTATTTACAAGAACAGAAGAAACATATAGAATTGTGCAAACTATCGAGGGATCAAATTTATGAGTCACACTATGAAGCTCTAAGAGAGAGTGATTAAACAATGACTAAGGCATAAAACAAGTGTATCAAAAAATTAATTCAGTTTTATACGAAGGAGGTCAATAATCAAGGCTATTTTCCTACTTAGGCAACTGAATGAGAAGTTTAGAGTGAAGGGAAAAGACCTCCACATGGTCTTTATTGATTTAGAAAATTTTTATGATAGTGTACCTCGATATTTGATTTAGTGGGTGTTGAAAAAGAAAAAAACAAAGATCAAACTTCTACACCACACTACGAAGCTCTAGTTGAGAGTGATTGAGCAATGACTAAGGTATAAAATGAGTGTATTAGAAAACCAATTCGGTTTTATGTTAGGAAGGTCAACAACCGAGGCTATTTTTCTACTTACGCAACTGATTGAGAAATTTAGGGCTAAAATGACTTCCACATGATCTTTATTCATTTAGAGGAAGCTTATGATATAGTACATCGATATTTAATTTTGGAAAAGAAATGAGTCTTTAGACAAAACATCGACTTGGTGAGAAATATATACGATGGAACGCT